CTCTCTCTCTCTCTCTCTCTCTCTCTCTCTCTCTCTCTCCCTTTTCCCATTAACTTAATTTCAATTTAACTATATATATATATATATATATATATAGAGAGAGAGAGAGAGAGAGAGAGAGAGAGATATTTGCATCAAACTATAATTATCAGTAAAAATTAATTCTATTGAAATTGATATATTCAAGGATATATTATTGCGCTAAGTAATCTACTTCCATTTAAAATTATAATCCTTTTATATTCCATTTGAAAATAAGAAAATTTGATTAACCATAATGAAAATAATTCAGTAAGTTACTTAAATAAAATAAAAATAATTATTATTTTTTATTGTTGAGAAAAATATTATTATTAATAAAAAGAATTTAATTAATAAAAGGAATAAGATAAATTAAAAATGAATACCGGTTTAAAATTAATATAAAACTAATACAAAATTATCAAACAATTATTAATTTTATAATTAGATTTTATTAATTTAAAACCAACTTAAGTTCCACTAAGAAGTAAAAATTCATATAGTTAATTAAATTTCATAAGGAATTTAAATTAAAAAAAAACTTAATATACTTAAATAAATTAAATTTTAATAATTTCAAAAATTAATAAAAAAAGTAGTTCTAAACATAGTTTTATTAGTTTAAAATCAACAAAATTTCATTTAAAAATAAGGAAAATTATATAAACCCCCTTGTGTTTTCTAATAATCCTACGAAACTCCCTAATGTTTTGACTTTAACAAAAACCTCCCCTATAGATTATTGGGATGGCTTTGCTGGGTTGGAAACATAGAAGTGGTTTATAGAATTGTTATAAACAAATAAAATTAAAAAAAAAATTGACAAAAAAATTAATATTAAGATACAAAAAAGTACAAATTTATCTAAAGAGTAGGAAATTGGTCACTCTCACTAAAACGCAACTTAGATTGTAATCAGATAATCTATATTTTAACCCCCAAAAGTAATTAATACATGAATTGAACTTAGATGGACACCATTTAATTGGAAATGTCATAGAACTCCGTCTTCAATTTTTCTGATAAACAAAGTCTCTGTGTCGCATGGGTCCTGACTAGTTTGTTAGAAAATATGAAAGTTTAAGGGTCTATTGCAAATGATAGTTCAAGGATAATTATTTCTAACCCATAGTACCCATATTATAAGGGGTATTTGTAATTTACCATTAAATTAGGATACATAGCTTGAGTGTTCATTAATTAAATTAAATATACCCTGTGTTTTTCGAAAGGACTTAAAAATACAATGTTTACCCTTCATTTCCTTTCGAATTTTCAAAAAGAACCAGAAAGATTATAAATCTGAATATGAATGAAGGTAACATAGAATACCACTTTTTCCCCCTCCAACCATTACTGAGAATAGTAACAAAAGCTTTAACATGGATCTTGAGATTGATTGATAAGCACTACCCAATTCAAGCTGAATTTTGTCTATATAGAATCTGATTATTGATTTTTTACCAAGAGTAAATATTGGCAATACCAATACGAATCCAGAAGAAGATTTGAAATGAAAAGTCTATTTAGAAATAAGGATTGAGAAGCAAATGCATCTTCAAAAGAACTAGATTTAATAATTGAAAGGTTTTGTTCCTATATGAGCCAT